TAATGCTTTAAGATTTGCAAAATACTTTACATACATTATTTCTTTTGATCCTCTCTACAACTCTGCCAGGTAAATACCATAGTTATTATCATCATTTTATAAATGAGGAAACTGAAGTGCAGAGAGGTTAAGTGGCTTGCCCATGGCCTCACAGCTAGTAAAAGACATGGGCAGGATTCAAAACCGATCTCTACTGACTACAATTCTATCATTCTGTCCATTATACTATATTGCCTTCCCATACATTTCTCTGTAAATATGATTTAGTTCTTTCTAGTAAAAATCTAGAGAATCGTCTACATGTAGCACTCCATTGCCACATTGAGGCTTTGAGAGCTTGTTTATTCTATCACCTATTAAAAATCATCAACATTTATTTCATCTCTTAGGGATGCTGGAATATACTACTGTTTCAGATACTATTTCATGTAATTCATTTCTTGCTTTATCCACCTTCCCATATGTTATAGAGAGTCCATTATATGTCCTCAAAGTTTCTGAAGCACTACAGTATAAAATATTTCTTTTTTTATTAATAAATTTATTTATTTTTAGTTTTCAACATTTACTTCCACAAGATTTTGAGTTCCAAATTTTCACCCCATCTTGCCCCTCCCCCCACCCCAAGATGGCATGCATTCTGAATACCCCTTCCCCTAGTCTGCCTTCCCTTCTATCTCTCCCCTCTTCTCTTATCCCCTTCCCCTTCTCTTTTCCTGTAGGACAGATAAATTTCTTTACTCCATTTCCTGTATTTCTTATTTCCCACTTGCATGTGAAAACATTTTTTTTAAACATGTGTTTTTAAAACTTTGGGTTCCAAATTTTCTCCCTTCCTCCCTCCCCACCCACCCTCATTGAAAAGGCAAGCAACTCAATATATGTTATACATGTACAGTTATGCAAAACACTTCCATAGTAGGCATTCTGTGAAAAACTAACTCTGTTTCCCTTAATCCTATCCTGCCCCCCCATTTATTCTATTCTTTCTTTTGACACTGTCCCTCCTCAGAAATATTTGCTTCTGATTACCCCCTTTCCCAATCTGCCCTCCTCTCTATCATCCCCCTACTCTCTTGTCCCCTTCCCCCCCTATTTTCCTGTAGGGTAAGATAGATTTCCATACCCAATTGAGTGTGTATATTATTCCCTCCTTAAGTCAAATTCTATGAGAATAAGATTCACTCATTCCCTCTCACCTTCCCCTGTTTTACCTCCACTGTTAGAGCCTTTTCTTTTCTGTGTTTTTTTTTTGTGAGATAATTTACCCCTTTCTACCTCTCCCTTTCTCCTTCTTCTAGTATAATCCTCTCTCACCCCTTAATTTTATTCTCCAGATATGACCCCTTCATCTTCAACTCACTTTGTGCCCTCTATCTATCTATTTATCTATCTATCTATCTATCTATCTATCTATCTATCTATCTATCTATCTATCTATCTATCTATATACATGCATAAAGTTTTTTTCCCTCCAACTACCCTAATACAAAGATCTCATGAGTTACAAATATAATCTTTCCATGCTGGAATGTAAATAGTTCAACCTTAATGAGTCTCTTATGATTTCTCTTTCCTGTTTACCTCTTCATGTTCCACTTGAGTCTTGTATTTGAAAGTCAAATTTTCTATTCAGCTCTGTTCTTCTCATCAAGAATGCTTGAAAGTCCTCTATTTTACTGAATGACCATTTTTTCCCCTGCAGGATAATACTCAGTTTTGCTGGGTAGGTGATTCTTGGTTGTAATCCTATCTCCTTTGCCCTCTGGAATATTATATTCCATGTCCTGAGCTCCCTTAATGTAGAAGCTGCTAAATCTTGTGTTATCCTGATTGCGTTTCCACAATACTTGAATTGTTTCTTTCTGGCTGCTTGTAATATTTTCTCCTTGACCTGGGAGCTCTGGAATTTGGCTACAATATTCCTAGGAGTTTTCCTTTGGGGATCTCTTTCAGGAGGAGATTGGTGGATTCTTTCAATTTCTATTTTGCCCTCTGGTTCTAAAATATCAGGTCAGTTTTCCTTGATAATTTCTTGAAAGATGATGTCTAGGCTCTTTTTTTGATCATGGCTTTCAGATAGTCCAATAATTTTTAAATTCTCTCTCCTGTATCTATTTTCCAGGTCAGTTGTTTTTCCAATGAGATATTTCACATTGTTTTCTAATTTTTCATTCTTTTGGATTTGTTTTACAGTGTCTTGATTTCTCATAAAGTCACTAGCTTCCAATTGCTCTATTCTAATTTTTAAGGACTTATTTTCTTTAGTAATCTTTTGGACTTCCTTTTCCATTTGGCCAATTTTGCTTTTTAGGGCATTTTTCTCCTCATTGGCTTTTTGGACCTCTTTTGCCATTTGGGTTAGGCTATTTTTTAAGGTGTTATTTTCATCAGTATTTTTTTGGGTCTCCTTTAGCAAGCTGTTGACTTGTTTTTCATGATTTTCTTGCAAAACTCTCAGTTTTTCCTCTACTTCTCTTACTTGCTTCTCAAAATCCCTTTTGATCTCTTCCAAGGCCTGGGATTGATTCATATTTTTCTTGGAGGCTTTGGATGTAGGAGCTTTGGCTTTGTTGTCTTCTTCTGGGTGTATGTTTTGATCTTCTTTGTCACCAAAGTAAGATAATATAGTCTGATTCTTTTTGCGCTGCTTACTCATGATCCCGGCCAATTACTTGAGTTTTAAACTCTTTGTTAAGGTAAGAGTCTGCTTCCAATGTGGAGACTGTCTCAAGCTTCAGGAGTTTGTACAGCTGTTTTCAGAGATATTTCTAGGGACCTGTAAATTTTCAGTTCTTCCAAGGTGGTATGATAAGGAGCAAGGTGTTTCCTCTCCACCACCACAACAAGCTGCACCTCGCCAGCGCTCCTTCTCACCCCAGGACCGCCCCTCAGAACTGTGACCCAGATCCAAGCACGGGCAAAGCAAGAGATTCCTGCCTCAGCACTGGCAAAGAGATTCCTGCAATCCCCCTCTGATCAACCACTGGATTCCCCCTCAGTCTGTGGGCCAGAAGCTCAGGAGGCAGCCACTGCCCGATGGGCAGCTGAGACCTAGCTCCTCTGTCACCGCAGTCACAGACTTTTCCCACTGACCTTCTAAGTTGTCTTTGGCGTTGGTGGATTGAAAAGTCTGGAAACCACCACAGCTGCCCGCGATTCAGTCTTCTGAGGCCTGATCCAGATTTGCTGCAGCCTGCATGCTCATGCCAAACTGCACTCCTATCCCAGCCCAGTGCGATACACCTTTCCAATCAACCATCCAGGCTGTCTTGGGCTGGAATTTTGTTTCACTCTGTCTTTTTGTGGGTTCTGCTGCTTTAGAATTTGTTTAGAGCCATTTTTTTACAGGTATTTGGAGGGGTTTGGGGGAGAGCTCAAGCAAGTCACTGCTTTCACTCCTCCATCTTGACTCCGCCCCCTAAAATATTTCTATTAGTTGCTGGGTACCCCCCAAACAAATAGTCCTTAATGAGGGTCAAGCTCTGGAGAACACTACTTGTCAAGAACTATGCGTTCAGAGAGCAGCAAGCTGGTGCAATGTATAGAGTACTGGGCCTGGAGTCAGGAAGACTCATCTTCTGAGTTCAAATCTGGCCTCAGACACTTATTAGCTGTGTAACTCTGGATAAGTCACTTAATCCTGTTTGCCTCAGTTTCCTCATTTGTAAAATGAGCTGGGGAAACCACTCCAGTATCTTTGCCAAGAAAACCCCAAATAGGGTCATGGAGAGTCAGATATAACTGAAACAACTAAACAACAACAAATGGGGATGAGAAGATTCAGATCAGGTCTCTTTCTGTCTCCTGTCAACTTATTCCTCCTTTTCTCTCCTTTCTCCCTCAGAAATCAGGCTTTCTCTTTTCCAACTCCAGCTCAGATGCTGCTCACAATCTCAATTCTGATCTCTTCTGAAAGCCGATTGCTCCATTAAATGCAGGACCAAGAAGGAAAGTTGGGCAGAAACACTCTCCATTCCCTACTGCAGTCCATAAAAACATTTATGCCAGGATACTTCTTATTCCAGCTCTCGTCTCTTACCCTGGGTGTGCCTCCATGCCTGGAATGAACCTCCTTAGCTATCTTGACCACTTAGAATCCCTGATTTCTTTCAAGATTCCATGACCTTCATAAGCCTTATCCAACTGCTTTTCAGTCATCTCAAACTAGATATTGAGTAGACTTAACATCTTAAACTTAACATATTTAAAACTGAACTCATTTTTTTCATCTAAATCTTTCCCCACTCTTAATTTCCCTATTACTGTCAAGGGTAACACCATCATCCCAGGCCCTCAGGTTGATAAGCTAGGTGTCATCTTTGACTCCTCACTATCTCTTACCACACCCCCCCATATCCAATTTATTGTTAAGACCTGTCAACTTCTCTTTAGCAACATCTCTCTTATATACTTCCTTCTCTCCTTTCATATTGCTGCCACCCTGATGCAGGTCCTCATCACCTCACACTCAGACTATTACAATAGCATGCTGGTGGTTCTGCCTTTCTCAACTGTCTCTCCACTCCATTTTATCATCCAATCAGCCACCAAAATGATTTTCCCAAAGCCCAGGTCACCCCCTATTCAATTAACTCAAGTGACTCTCTGTCACCTCCAGGATCAAAAACAAAATCCTCTGTTTGGTATTCTAAACCCTTCATAACCTGGTCTACTCCTTCCTCTCCAGTTTTCTTATACCTTACTCCTTGACAAGTACTCTTCCATCCAGTGACATTGACTTCCTTGCTGTTCCTCTTTTTTTTTTTCTTTTTTTTTTTTTTTGGTTTCTGGTGAGGGCAATTGGGGTTAAGTGACTTGCCCAGAGTCACACAGCTACTGAGTGTTAGGTATCTGAGGTCGGATTTGAACTCAGGTCCTCCTGACTCCAAGGCTGGCGCTCTATCCACTGTGCCACCTAGTTGCCCCTTCCTTACTGTTCCTTAAACAAGACACTCCATCTTTTGGTTCTGGGCATTTTCTCTGCCTGTCTCACATACCTGGAAGGCTCTCACTCCTCATCTCCACCTCCTGGCTTCCCTGACTTCCTTCAAGTCCCAACTAAAATCTCACCTTCTATCTCTCTTAATTCTTGTCTTCCCTCTTTTAATTGTTTCCTATTTTTTCTGTATGTATCTTTTGTATGTATTTGCCTATTTGTTGTCTCCCCCATTAGTTTGTGAGCTTCTAGTGGGCAAGGATTGTCTTTTGCTTCTTTTTGTATTCCCAGTGCTTAGCACATAGTAGGCACTTAATAGATGTTTATTGACTAACTAATTTCCTTATGTGGTTGCCCAAACTGTTAGTGCCTTCTCCCACTGGGTTTCTTTGCATTTATTTTGTTTATACCTAGTATATACATATATATATATATATATATATATGTTGTCTCCCCTGTCAGGATATAAGCTCTTAATGGCAAGAATTGTTGGATTTTTCTCTGTCTAGCCCAATGTGTGGCACACAGAAGGCACTTAATAAATACTTGTTGAGTAATGGATTCTTTAATGACAAATTCTACTTTAGGAAATTAGTGTCAGTCACAAATTAGATAGACTGAGTCATTAACACATTTTATCTGTTGCTTTTGAAAAGAATACCCTATAGATCAGTTGGTACTGATTACTTTGATTTATTTTTAATTTGATTGTAGGATTAAACTCCCTTCTTTAGGAAAAACTAGCTAATAACTAAGCCAAACTAACATAGATATTCTCTTAAGTCTAGGTTACCTGTAGACTTAGTGAATAAATAAATTGATAAGACTATCATTTAGTAGCAGATAACTTAGAGTAAGACATATATCTTTGTAGGAATAAAATAATCATGGGACTATAAGACTCTTTTTAAAGGCTAAGTTCCCATTTCTATCAGCTGGAGAAAGGGGAGTTGACAAAAGGTTAAGTTCCTCTTTCCAGTCTTAGTGGATAAGCTCCCCCTCTCTTTTTTTCTTGAATTAGAAGTTAAGTTTAAGTTGAATAGTGTAATCTTCTAAGATTGGGTTTCCCTTTTTGGTAGCTGGAGGATGAGGGATGATAGCTAACTACAAACCATAAGCTCCTCTTTCCCAGAATTAGTTCAAACTACAGGCCCCTCTAAAGTAAGCTTTCTGGTTACAAAGGGCATCACCTGCAAGGCAAGGATTTCTGGGGGTAATCTCATTTTTTTTAATTTTTAGGGAACTGGGGTTAAGTGACTTGCCCAGGGTCACACAGCTAGTAAGTGTCAAGTGTTTGGTCTAAGGGCGGATTTGAACTCAGGTCCTCCTGACTTCAGGGCTGGTCCTCTATCTACTGCACCAACTAGTTGCCCCGGTAATCTCATTTTGACAGCTCAATGTTGCCAACAGTATGAATCTGGGTTAAGAAAGCCTGGGAGAAGTAAACTAGTCAGATGACCAGTCTTGTCCAATTGAATTATGTTCAAAATAAGTTTCCTAAGATTACTGTAATTTTTCAGTCCTCTTTTTATTATAAAAATAAGTTCTGTAAACCACTCCTTTGTCACTAATTACTGAGGAATTAGTTGACCTGACTTAATGGTAGCCTGTCACCCATTACTATTAAATCACTACTTGAAAGCTTTGTGCCTCGATTTGTTTTCTATTTCAGATGATTAATTTTAACACTTTCTTGATACTCCACAAACAGGGTGGTACTTAGTATTTTTACCAATGATACAGATTGACTACATACTAGGCACAGAAAGATTGAAGACAAATGTGAAAAAGCAGAAAGTCAATACATCCTGTACAGACCATAATGCAATAAAAATATACATTGTTTCAAGAGCATGAGCAAAAGATACAGACCTAAATGGAGACAACAAAATCTTAAATAACGAGTAGGTCAAAGAACAAATGACAGACACAATTAATAACTATGTAAAAGAAAATGATAGATGAAACAACTTTCCAAAATTTCTGGGATGTAGCTAAAGCAGTCCTTTTGGGAAAAATTATATTCTTACAATCACACATGAATGAAATAGAAAAAGAAAAGATTAATAAAGTGAATAAAATTAGAAAATCAACAAATAAACCTAAAATGAAATAAGCAAAAGAGAAGATATTAAAAATTAAAGGCGAAACAGATAAATTGGAAACAAAAAATAGAAATTATAAATAAAACCAAAAACTGTTTTTGAAATGACTAATATAATTATAAACTGTTAGCTAATTGGATTAAAAACAAGAGAGCAGAAAATCAAATCAATAAAATAGCAAATGAGCAAGGTGAAATCACATCAAAGCCAGAAGAAATAAAAAGAATAATCAGAGCATAATCTGCATAGTTATGTACTTACAAAACTGAGAACACAAAAGAAATAGAGGGATACCTTCAAAAATATAAAATGCCCAAACTATCAGAAGACCAGATAGAGATCTTAACCCAATCTCAGAAAAAGAAATAGATCATTTGTAAAGAAACTACCAAAGGAAAAAAAAAACCCTTTTGCTTGATGGATTCACAGGAGAATTTTATCATACTTTAAAAGTATTACTATCCAGACTTCATAAATTATTCTCAAAAATTGAAAAAAGAAAGAATCCTACCAGAATCTTGTTGTGAAATAAATACAGTCCTAATACCTAAACCAAGGAAAGTTAAAACACAGAAAGAAAATTATAAGCCAATATCATTAATGAGTATTGACTTGAAATTTTTAAACAAAATCCTATCAAACAGAGTACAGTGATTTATCCAAGAAATCATTCATACGATCAGGTGAGATTTATACCAGACATGCAAGAATAGTTCAACATTAGGGGGGGAAATTGACATAATTCAGCATATCAAAAACCAAAATATCCAAAACCACATAATCATCTCATTTCTTACCTAACCTTAATCACTGCTTGATTGGGCTTTGCCTCACAAAAACTGAGACCTGGGAAAGACCTTAGCTTAAAAAGGGCAAGGTCTCCCACTGCATCCAGGGCCATCTCCAGTCATCCTTATCTATATCTTGCTCCTGGACCCAGATGTCTTCAGAGGAGAAAGTGAGGCTGGTGACTTTGCACAACCCTCCCTCTCTTAAATCCAATTCACTTGCTAGTCATGGTGTCACCTCCCTGATGTCAGGGTCCTCTCTCAGAATGAAGGACAAACAACAATCTATCCCCAGTGCCTAGTACAGTACCTTGCACATTGTAGGTGCTTAATAAATATTTTGAAAATCAAATTATTGAACAAGAATTGAAACCAGAAGACAAAGGGAAATTGCAACTAAATGTAAGAATGACCCATTAGTTCTCCTTGGAGAGGCAAAAAAGTGTTGGTTTACTCCAGCTATGCTTCTGATTCTAGAAGGGGCCGCTAACTTGCACAGGACATAAAATGCCAATCCTGGAGTTAGAAAGATGAGTTCAAATTCAGCCTTAGACATTTACTCACTGTGTGACCCTGGGCAAGTCATATAACCACAGTTTTCTGTAAGATGTGGATAATAATACCACCTACCTCCCACAGTTGTTGTGAAGATCAAATGAGAATAACTGTAAAGTGCTTAGCACAGTGCCTGTTATATAGCAAGCATTGTGTAAATGTTAGCTATAATAATAATTATTATTATTACCATAACTCAGCTGCCCTCTGATCCTGAAACTTCCCTCTTTACCTGGGGTCTTCTCAACTTGCAATATCCCTCTATGATGCTGGCTATGTTTTTTTTATTCTCCCTTTGTTTATGCTTCTGACTCTACAGATTTTTACTGGAATGGCTCAATGAAGGTACCTCATCTCTCCCTCCTTCACCCTTTACTTTCTAGTTCCCTTTCACTGTTCCTCTATTAGAAGGTAATAAATTCCTTGAGGGCAGGAACTGCCTTTCTCTTTGTTTGCATTTGTATCTCTAACTCTTAGCACAGGTGCCTGGCACACAGAAAGTACTTAATAAATGCTTCTTGCCTTCTCTAAGGGGAATGGGAAGAGGAAGGGAACAAGCATTCATTAAGCACTTACTGTGGGCCAAGCATTGTGCTGAGTACTTTGAAAATATTATCTCACTTGATCTTCACAACACACTTAGAGGTTGGTGCTGTTATTATCTCCATTTTACCAGTGAGGAAATGAGACAGAGGTTAAGTGACTTGCACAGGGTCACATAGCTAGAATAAATCTGGAGGGCACATTTAAACTCAGGTCTTCCTGATTCCCGGTCCAGTGCTCTGTCCACTTACCTGCCACTCAGAAAATAAAATTAAAACAACAACAACAACAACAGGATTTTATGGAACACCTCATTGGTCACTCTGCCTTGCAGTGCCCATAATGAACCTAACCAAGAAGACCACAATGATGACAATTGCAGTTTATGTTTAAATCTCAATTGCTGAGGAAGAGGAGGTAAAGAAGGACTATGACTAATATGATAAGAACTACCTGGCCAATTCAACATACATTTTGATACTTGGGGACTTCAATGCAAAGACACACATGAGGGAGGATGATAAAAAGTAAATAGTAATATATGCTTCTGATTTAAGAAATAAAAGCAGTGATACAAAAAAGGAAAAAAATTTTTTTTACTCATTTTTGGAATGTCAGTTCTACCCACTCAGCTTTCTTTCCATTTTCATAAATACCTTGAGATGCCTTTCATTGTTCTGAAATCCAATGGGTTTATCTCTTGAGTAAAAATGTATTTCCACAGGATACTAACTTTAAAGAACATATATTAAGGAGAGAGGTCTCCATATTTCAAACCTAAAAGTCAGGCAAGCTCTTTTGTGGCGGCTTATGATATGCCTTCCCAACTAAGGAAGACAAGGAAGGTCTGAGACACATTAGCCATGGCCACTGATGCATTGGCAAGTACCAGAAGCACCCTGGAGGCTCGGCTGTGGTAATGTAGGAGGGCTGAACCATCACCCAATCAACTTCAACAAATGTCATCCAGGTTACTTCAGGAAAGTGGGTATGAGGCATACCATTTGAGGAAGAACCAAAGCTACTGCCCAACTGTCAAACTTGATAAGCTGTGGACACAGGTCAGTGAGCAGACCAGGATTAAAGCTGCCA